TTTTATTATAATTTAAAATCACTGTTTTCAATTTAAATATATTTTAAAATGTAATTTATTCCTTTAATGCACAGCTGAATTTGCAGCAGCCATTACCCCACATGACCCTTCAGAAATCATTTTAATATGCTGATTTGGTGCTAAAGAAACATTTCAAGATTCTTTGAGAAATACTTAGTCTAAAATAACTGCATATATTTCAAAAAGATTTTTTGTTAAATAAAATATTAAAGATTGATCAATTTAAGGGATCCTTGCTGAATAAAAGTACTGACTTTTTATATGTGTGCTTTTATGAGTAGTCCTAGTGGTTCATGTGATTCAAAACTGCCAGAGAAGAAGAAAAAATGTGGCAAAAATCAAAATAGGCATCTAATGAAAATCATTTGTTCTCTGTGATGTTCAGTGCTTTAACGCCGAAATAAAACTACAGATATCCATACAAGAACACAGAAGAGACAATGTGTTGCACTGAAGTACAACCAGCTTTCAAGAAATACACCAAATTCTCCAAGGTAAAATAAGTACCTATTTATGAATTTCAAATTTACAAGTTTAACACAGAAAAAAAGAGATATCCAGTACCATTTGAGCGTTCATCTTCTCATCCATTAACAGTGATTTATCTGACACTTCCTCAATCTGACCCTTGAACACTCCACTCTAAATGACAACATGACACTGAAGAAGAAAATAAGACTCTAATCGCCAAGTGTTTCAAACATTAGGAGCACTGGAATACTATCATCATCGGCAATTTCTTCAATGAAACAAATAAAACATACAAACATTTCTCATTGCAAGCACTTTGTACAAATCAATGTCACATCTAAATGAATAAGACTTTATGCACACTGAGGTAAATTATCATATTTGTCCAAAGAGGTATGCTTTGACATGAATTATTTTTGTGTTTTGCACTGTAGTGTTTTTTAAAGTGATGTTTCAATGTCATCAAAAACCCAAACTGCATTTACACCAACCACAGAGTAGGCACCCAATACAAAAAGGCTTCTGGAATGACTAAAATACAAAGAAAACTGACTGTGAATAGCAAAATTTGTCTGCACATAAACCATAACCTTGGAATGAACAAAGAAGAACAAAGGTATGACTTTACAGATCCATTCTGGTTTTCGGGGACTGGAAATACCAATAATACGTGACTTTGCAGAAAACAGAAATCTTTATAAAATCGAGGCACTTGTATTGCATCATGCACTGGAGAACACAGTGAGATTGCATATCATAGTGTAAGTGTTCCTGGCTGCATCCCACATCATTTCCTGCCTTTTTGAGCAGGAACTCATTCATTCATCGAGTTAATGCCAATGTGGGTTGCAGAACAGTTTGGTGCTATTGTAGTTTGACCCTCTTTTAAGCTCAAATTGAAAATACTGAATGTTCAACATGAAACCAAAGTGACCATGTAGTCATACGACAGCATGTTTCCTATATATATATATATATATATATATATATATAGCAGGTAAAATAAGTATTGAACACGTCACCATTTTTCTCAGTAAATATATTTCTAAATGTGCTGTTGACATGAAATTTTCACCAGATGTCGGTAACTACCCAAGTAATACGTACATA